TTTTCTCGGCTGCATGCAATTTACGCTTTAACGCGACTTAGCCTCAAGGTCTCTTCGACGAATGGCGCTATGGTGAATCAACTTTGATACGCCCGCATTATCCACACACAAATTACCCTCTATCTGCAACAGTTCCGACTGCATCCGCTCCAGAAGATGCCAGCGCGCCTATCTGCTTAGGCTCATATAATAGCCCCGACGAGGCAACAGCTTATGTGCTGAATGCTTTCAGATAGTCATACTACCACAGCTGAGCGCTTCTACGCAAAAAAAAAAAAAAAAAAAAAGGTTACCGCAACTGCGACAGTTTGACGATCTGAAATTAGAGCGTGAGAACAGAACAATCCAATCACAGAGCGCTAACGCCACAAAGCCTTCAATAAGCGCTTGCACGTTGCTTGCTGACGTCCATCACGAAGGCTCTCGTCTCCGCCATGAGCGCTGCGTTGGACCTCATTCTGTTGGGTGCAAGCTGGTTACACGTACTCCTTGCTCCATATACAAAGGTGGAGGAAAGCTTCAATCTCCATGCTACCCACGACGTCCTATTTTATGGCGTCGGCCCCGCCGCACTGCCTAAGGTACGTGCAATCGTATGAGAATGATGTCTGTACTAACCAAAGGTCCAGTATGACCACTTTATCTTCCCCGGAGCAGTGCCCAGGACTTTCATAGGAAGCGCTCTTCTTGCCTGGATATCCGCGCCAGCAATTCACCTCGCTCACTGGTTTGGACTCTTGTCCTCCAAGGCGGATATCCAGGTTGTAGGTATGAGACTCTGGGTGTTGATTTTGACCCAGCTAACACTCATGCAGTGCGACTTGTACTTGCCACATGCAATACTTCCGGCTTCTCCTACCTGAGGCGAAGTGTCTCTCACCGCTATGGCGGAATAGCAGGCGTCATGTTCGTCCTTTTGACCATCACCCAGTTTCACATCCCATTCTGGATGGGACGAACACTCCCAAATATGTTCGCTCTCCTCCCGGGTAGGTAATCATGCTTGCTACTGTCGTCAGCGCTTGCTCTGATACTATGGTCGCTATAGTGAATATCGCTTTGTGTAGACTTTGGGATCGCGCGCCGAATGCCACTCGGCCGACAGCGCGCGGCATCGACATCTCGATCGTGCTCCTGGTGTTTGCCTCTGTCGTCTTTCGTGCTGAGGTTGCTGTGCTCCTGGCTGCCGTTGTTTTGCAAGCGCTCTGGTCTCGTAGGACCTCGTTGCTCCGTGTTATCAAAGTCGGCCTCATCAGCTCGTTCGTTTCCATAGGTTTGGTTCGTTTTCACCAGTCTCCGTCAGATGGCTGATTAATACCTCAACTCAGGACTCACTGTGGCTATTGATACGTATTTCTGGCGACAGCGCCCTATTTGGCCTGAGCTGTATGGAGTTTATTTCAACGTCGTTCAGGGCAAGAGCGCAGAATGGGGTGTAAGACATCTAGGTTTAAAATGCGGGTATGTACCTGACTAGATTTTCTTGTCCTCCAGGTCTCGCCGTTTCACACGTACTTCGCAATTCACCTTCCCAAGCTACTCCTAACGTCCATCTTACTGGCAGCATTTGGTGCCCTTATCGATGGCCGAGTTCGCACCCTGCTATTCCCTTCTGTCATGTTCGTCTTCATACTCAGTTTCCTTGGACACAAAGAATGGCGGTTCTTAGTCTACGTGGTACCAACCTTCAACGTAGCAGCTGCGAGAGGAGCTACTTATTTGTGTGTACCTTCAATTTCTCCTCCGCCTGACTGAGACTTATGTTGACTGCAGAGCCACTCGGAAGAAGAGCAGCTTGATCGGAAGATTGGCATTCCTCGTTGTTGTGGGCTGCTTGTCCGCCAATCTGCTTGCGACAGTTATCTTTTCACGGTCGTCGATGGATAATTACCCGGGCGGTGAAGCTCTGGCCCGATTCAACGAGATTTATGCCGGACAACCTAACTGTACGTCGCAAGGACTTGTCACTGGAATACGTCTAACGTACGATTCCATGCAGTGCATGTTCACATCTCGAATCTCGCGGCCCAGACAGGTGCATCCCTTTTCCAGCAGGTTAATTCTCCCCCATACATGACTGTGCTTGGCATCGACTCTCGTGACCCTGCGACACCATGGATATACAACAAGACTGAAGATGTTACGCCTGAGCAACTGACTGCTCACAGGAAGATCACACATGCCATCGCGGAGGTTGAGCCCATGGAGGTTGCCAGTTCACTGGAGGCTGCTGGGTTCCTGAAGGGTTCCTGGAAGCCAACAGACGTTGTCACTTCTTTCGACAGGCTGGCCTTCGACGTACAGGCCTTCAAGGCAGATTACACGAAGCCGTGGCGAGTCCTGAACTTCGTCGAGAGCGAGAAGTTGGCCATCTTAGAGAGGAGGTGACGCAGAGATAGGTTCAGTATCTAAACCTACAAGAGTGCTGTATGGACTATTTGCTTTATATTATCTTACCTCACTGGGGCAGCCTGCTCCTTCTTCGGCCTGCTCCCAAAAATGCCAGTGCCGACACGTACGACGTCGCTTCCGGCCCTGAGTGCCGCTTCAAAATCGCTTGACATGCCCATGCTCAGCATCAGCCGCCCTGCAACGCCCCATCGCCCACCGTCGCTCGGGAACTCTTTGGCAAGTTCCGCCTGCAAGAGGTCCCGGGTCTGGACGAGCCTTTCAAAGTCTTCGTTTGGCTTCTCCGCGGATGCGAGCGACTCGGTGAGCGAGCCGATGGTCATGAGACCTTGCAAATGCAGCCGCGGGCACTCGGCGATGATGAACTTCGCGAGTTGAGTGAGCTCTGTGGATGCGTTGGCTGTGGCGGGGTTAAGCGGGAGGACGCCGGACTTGTTGTCTTCACCAGAGGTATTGACCTGGAGGAGGACGTTGAGGGGAGGGCGGTTCTCAGAGATGTACTTGTTCAGGCCTGAGGCGCTCTTGGTCGACGTCACTGTCTGGACGGCGTACAGATTGGGTATCGCTGCGAAACAGAATATCTCAGCTATTAATATGGCATATATAATTGCGCACATGGGCCGCTCACAGGCAAGAGCCTTGGCCTTGTTAGACTGAAAGGTTCCGATGAAGTGCCATCGGATGTCTGAAAGAGCTAGCTGAGGGAGATCTAGATGGGTATTGTCCAGGCAAGTCGAAAATGCATACACATACCTGAGCAGCTTTATCCTCAAGCTCTTGCACATAGTTCTCCCCAAAATCCCTCTGACCCTCCTCATAGCATGCCAAGATGTCCGACGCAGGCTTCAGCTTCGACACTGCAACGAGCGTAGCAGGTTGGGCGACTCGTTCATGAGTAGCACCTTGAGCCTGTGCTGCTGTCACCCGAGCACGAACCTCGTTCAAACATTCATGAAGTTCGGCAAGACGCTCAGCGGATGGTAGCCGGACAGTTGTAGACGACATTTTAATGCTATGTCCAGAGAGCAAGCGAAGCGACGGCCTCATTACCTTGCTTGTTAAGGTTCCTCGGAATACGACAATTTACTCCCGAACTCATCGGGGCTTGCCGAAGTCGCGTGATGCCGACTTTCCAGCTCAAGTCTCGTCACAGTGTGACGGCCATGTGATCGTGCGAGAACAATAATGTAAGTTCTAAATATGTACATAGATGGAATGATACAATACATCGTGAGGTCTCGTAGCAGCGTTGGGCAGTCAATGACCGAGTCATCCCAGTCACGGTCATTGACTGACAGCTGGTCACTGATGGGTCAATGACCGAGTTACGGTCAATGACTGGGCGGTTTCGTGATCCCACGCAAGCGAAATGCCGGGGTCGAGCGCTTGGTGGGACAGACCTCAATGGACGGCGGGGCCTGATGGCGTCCTGCGAGATGGTTGGCTGCCAAGGTGGGACCCGGAAAACCGGCCAGTCATGGTCATGTCTGACTCGGTCATTGACCAGTCATTGACCAGAGTGACCAGTCACTGACCAGTCACTGACCGGCACAACGCTGTCTTGTAGCACACAGACCAGTATCCACATAATAGTCGCTGGACTTAATGATTATGTCAGCTCCGCTGCTTTATTCTTGCAACTCTATCTTCTAGGGAACGGGGGCAGTATTGCTCAAAATCGAGGCACAGACCGTTCATTTAAACTATTTGCTGGAGAACTGTGCCTCGATTTTATTCTCTGTTGGAGTATACGGAGAGGAGATATATTTAATAGGTGCATCCTCTGCAAAGCGTGACGGCGCTTGAGCACGTAATGTGGTGGGGAATGAACGCGGTCTCTCTTAAGTCTATGTCACAGAGCAGTCGCACGCGTGCGCGTGAACTCGCCCTACTGTACTTGCTGAGCCTGCTTTGTCTTCCTGCATATACTGGCATGTAGCTGTCGACAGGGATTCATATCTTCCTTGTCCAATTTTTTCCACCTTACTTTTCTCGTCCTACTCCGTCAGCCTGTCATCGATGTCATCCTTCACTGGAAGATGAGCGGGTAGTCAGAACAGCTTGTATGACTCGCTTCCACGGCGACTCACGTGTCTCCTTCTGTCGCACTACGTGCGAGGCTCCCATCGTGTGGTAGTCAAATACTCATACTGTCTGCAAGCTCAGGAGCAGCCGTTCTTACAAGATAGCCTATACGTTCTCATTAGTTGTCCTAGCTCAGGCAAGTCGAAGATCCCATTCAATCTTGCAGGAGCTTAAATTTTGCCCTTGACCGCAGAAATTACTTGGCCTTTGTCGGAGCTCCTTGCCACAAGGCCCACAGGACAGCCTATATTACTCCACACGGGACAACGCACCTGTGCTGGTGCTTGCCTCTTCCTCATAATCCTCTCACTCGCCAAGGCAACCTGCAGACGGAAGACAGCAACAAGACCCCGCCAGGCCTAATTTCTCGCTCTGCACACGCCGTCACCCCACACTGGCCCACGCGACGTCAACACAATCAAAGCGCAAGTGAGGAAAGCCCGCCTAGGCTTATGTTCCATGCCGAATCCTTGTACGATCCTACGCGGCCATCTGTATTTATGCCGAGGGGGTAATGGAGAGCGGGCGGGCGACGGGCATTGATCCGGCCTCCCACTCAGCGAGTTGAGGATTACCACGCGACGATGAGCAGAATGAGGGCGATGGTACCGCATTTTCGCGTGTTCACGATACCAGAGGCGCACGTCAAAGGCACGAGACAGAATACGAGATAGCCCCTCAGGCCTCAGGCACAGACGGAGGAAATGGGGCTGGAGCACGACGCGTTCGAGATTCAGTACGGTCATCTTGAGCGCGACAACGAGCGTGTTCTGGCGCACGATGCAGCTCCCTGGGGCCCAGATCCTCTTCCCGATCCCGCAACCACTTATATTCGAGCCCTCCAAATGAGAAACTGCCGAGTGTTCACTGATCCCAGATTATCGGGTGCGCTATGCACTCGCGACCTGCTCCTTGTCCACTTCCTCACCCGTTCGCTCACGGCCACACAATTCGTAGACGCTCCCTACTCTCTTGCTTGCACTGCCCAACCTTGTTCAACTTGGAAGGCTCGCGACCGCAGGACCGCAGCATGCCGCCGATACTGAACGTGTACTGCCCACCGAGGACATGGCGGCTTTCCGGGAAGGTTTGCGCGCGTTGGTCGCCAAACGTAGGACCTCTGAAGTTCGCATCGACGTCTTTCACGCATCGAATTGGTAGCTCGTACATTCCATCTCGCGCATCGATGTTACACAGTACAGGATTCCATTCGAAATAAGTACGCATATCTAGAAGACAATACACAGTTTTGGTTCAGCGCCGTCTGAACTGCTTTATGCGAAGACGCCAAGGCCAGGGTGGATGTCCTGGGGATCGTTAAGCTGCAGAGGTGTGTTAGCGTCGGATTGCGCAAGTAACGAAAGCGCAAACTTACGCGAAGGTTGATGTTAAGGCCGTCAATCTGCTGCACCTGCTCGGGAGTGAGGTCGAAGGAGGTGACCTCGAGGTTGCTGACTAGGCGTTCGTGGCTGTTAGACTTGGGGATGACAGCTATACCCTGCTGGACGGCCCAGCGGAGGATCACCTGAGCTGGAGTCTTCCCGGAGGCTTGCGCAATCGAGGTGACAACATCGTGCTTGAGCAAGCTGGGATGGCCAGTGTCAACTCCGAGCTCATAGTAGCCCTGCGGACCAAGAGAAGAGTAGGCAGTAACGGCGACGCCAAGCTCCTTGCAGAGAGCGACAAGCTTCTTCTGGGAGAGGTACGGGTGAAGCTCGACCTGATTGACGACGGGCGGGATGCGCGCATAGCGCAGGACGTCAATTAGGATAGAGCCCTGGAAGTTACTGCATCATTCTGTAAGTTAAAAGATGGCGCATCAAGCCAGATGGTAAACACGCACGAGACACCGATGTTCTTGGCGTGACCTAGCTCGCAGATTTCCTCCATACCCTCCCAGGTTTCACGAATGGGGATATTTGCTGCGGAATTCGTAAACAAGGGAATGTGCCGAGAGAACAGAATGTACTCACTAGGATGAACATTGCCGTCAAGACCCCACCACTCAGGGGGGTACTTGTCTTTGATGGCGACATCCTGAAGGGCGACAGGGAAGTGGATGAGGAAGAGGTCGAAGTAGTCGATGCCCCAGAGCCCCAGCTGAA